TGCTGCTCCTGTTGGCTGTTGCAGGTGTGACCTGAAGGTGGTGAGCGACGCCAACACCTTCTTCATCGAGACCGTCATGGCGCACTACGGCGTGCTCGGCTGCTTCTCCGAGATCGTCACCAACCCGGCGAGCGTCGACGCGGACGGCAGGCTCAGGATCTCGACGTTCCACGACTCCACGGCCGCGCCGCACGGCTGCAGCCTCTGCCCTGACAACATGTGCAAGGTACTACGATTTACCAACAGTAGGACGGCTGATCGGTTCAGATATTCAATGTCAGCTTCACTCCAACGCTCACCGCACGTGGCCACTGCAGACAAAACAAACAGCCAGATCTATCTATATCAAAAAAAAAAAGAAACAGCATAATTTTATTGCAAGATGTCTGACTGGATGTGCTCTGCAATCTGAAATCTGAATATTCATATTGTACTTTCAACACTTTACTAAGTGCCAGCGTGCTAAAATCTCTGTGCATTGCTCATATCAAGATGCGAAAACTCACTGATAACTCAGCATAAACTAAAAATGTGCTCACCATGTGCAGGGCAAGATAATCGAGAGAATCCAAGCAACAGCCAGTGACAAGAAGCAGCACTTCATCTACATAGGTGACGGCAAGGGAGATTACTGCCCATCCCTCAAGCTGGGGGAAGGGGACTATGTCATGCCAAAGGAGAACTACCCCCTTTGGAATCTCATCTGCAACAACAAGCAGCTTCTCAAGGCTGAGGTTCACCCGTGGAATAGTGGCGAGGAACTGGAAAAGACACTACTTAAGTTGGTCAGCAAAATGATCGCCGCACCTGCACAAGCTTCCCAGTTTGACTACAGCAAATGCGAGATGAGCAATCCAGCAATCCAGCATCCAGCCCTCCGTGTGCCACACTGATTACTGATCAACTCTTAGTTCACAAGTACAGGCATGATTGCCTAGTCATTTTTATATGCCTCGATCGATAAGAGTCCCCATTCTGCATTCAACATGATATGTCCTCAGTCTGCGTTCAAAACACAGCAATTTAGATGGATTATCTATGCTATGCACTATGTCATTCAATAAACTGCAGTGTGGCATGGAAGAACATGAATTGAGAATTAACTGATGCCAAAGTGGGAAACTATAGTCTAACTTTTCAGGCAAATCCAAATTTCCAATACCAGAATTCATTATGTTAATCTTCTTAAGTCACATAATAGCCAAGACAGTAACAGCATAAACTAGATATGCTACAGAACGGGCAATACTTTCAGTGTAATAATTCAGGAGCCTACCTATGCTCTTTTCTCATAAAGTACACAAAACTACCCACATATATGGAACTTCCTTCTGGTCTGATCAATCTTGTCCATAAGGGCACTGTAGAGCCGACAGGTAGCATCAGAGATTGAAGGAACAAAAGGCAATATGAACAGGCAGCAAACATGTCAAGCAAATTTCAGTATTTTGAGCATCGGTCTTGCAACAAGAACATGCATATCTGACCATGCATCACTCCATCTTCTAAAATCCGCAAATAAGTATTGGCAGCAATATGACCTGACCATAGATTCAGCTTCAAGAAGTTTTCCAGCCTTCATCAGAATGTCAACCATGCAACCATAGTGTTCCATTCTAAGGGTAATTCCACAAGACACTACTAGTAACTGTATAAAGTAGTTCATTCATCAAGTAGCCCACACGACTACAAGCTGACAGAAAACCTGCAGAAGAGATCCTATTGGGTTTCTTCCCCAATGTCTATCGTTTGTTGGAAAGCAACCAGTTCCTTGTATGCATGACCAGATTGGAACACCCACAGGTGATCACATTCCATGCAACTTAATCACATTTTGACTGATTGAATAGCATCTCAGGATACGTTATGCTCTCACTTTATATGCATGCCAACTGGAGCAAGCAATGGAAACATTAAATTGTTCCAAACTGATTTGATCACCAACCCATGTAGCTGGAACCTGCAACCTAAGGATGCCAAATCAGAGCAAACACTAAGGAGATTACCAAGCAATATTCATTAGACCGTTTTCTTTCCTTGCAACATTGAACTGAAGCATTCTATTACCTTATACATTCATCAATTTAGCACACCCTGCCATAATCAGTGTCGATGAGAACTCATCTTTTTCATTAATCAAGGAAATATCATTAGTTGACTTGTGAAGCACCCAGATTGAGCTTAAATGTCAACAAGCATTGTTGAAATATCAGTATCTCCTTGCAACCCGCTTTTCAGAACCTTGTCTCCGTATCTCAAGTAGTGCCACATCCAAAATGCCTACATAAGTATATTGTTAGCTGAAAAAGATACAGAAAAGTTGGCTTGAAAACTCTTCAAGCCTTCCTCACAGTATCTTCCAACATAAACTCTACAGATAAGTGTGTTCCAAGAAAATGTCAGCCTGCATAAGGTCAGTGTTGCACCTTGAAGGCTTGAACAGAACCAACTTTCGCATCAAAGAACTATCCGCAACAGCTTCAAGCTCCAGCACCGCTCTAACATTTTCGTTTCAAAAAAAAAAAAAGCGCCTCTCTAACATTTGATGATCACCAGAGCATGAACAGGTTGAATTGAATTCCATGCAACATTTCAGTGTTCAGACTTCAGAATAGTAGGTAAGTTAGTACTCGTACTTGCTTATCTCATCGCCGGATTCCCCACATGCAACATGAAAACGAGCATGAAAATGATGTGTTAACCGTCCCTTTCCAGCATGACCATGACCATGCTGTGTTTCAATCAAGCAACTAATTCTCGTCAGCGTCACTTTCCACTTCCAGCCCCAATGATGCATCAATCACTGCATCAGTTCGCAGCAGCAGGCCAGACGGTTCTGTCAGCAATGTCCACCTCCCAAGTCCCCACAGCATCTGTAAGCCTCGACCAGGCAGGGAGGAACCAAGGCATGGGTCACCCAAAATCCTGCTGCAGGCTTACCCAATGTTTTTGAGGCGCCGCGGCGAGGCGCGGCGCCCGACCCCCTTCACAATGCCTAGGCGTTTGTGGCGGACGCGACGCCATACACACATTGTAAGGCGTTGTAAGCTAGAATTTTATATACTAGTGCAGCACATACATACCTCGTTTGTTGCCAATTCTTGAGCCCATGTTCCTTTCTTTCCTTTGTTGCCATATTCAGAGCAGACAGAGCATAGCATTGCAGAGAGTATACAATATCCAGGGTCAGAGCAGAGCACGAGGGGGCAGAGCAGAGCACGAGATTTGGAAAAGGGCCCGACGGAAGACAAGCAGATAAGCAGAGCAGACAAGCAGATAGCAGAGTGGAGGCAGGGGGCATACCAGGCGGAAGGGCCCGACGGAGGCGCAGTCAAGCGGAGATGCAGGGGCGGAAGGGCCCGACAGGCTCCACGGCAGGGGCGGACGGCCAGGCGGAAGGGCTCGACAGGCTCCACGGCAGGGGCGGACGGCCAGGCGGAAGGGCCTGATAGGCTCCACGGCAGGGGCGGACGGCGAAGCGGAGATGCAGGGCCGGCTCCGCGGCAGGGGCGGCCAGCCGGTGGACACGAGCAGAGTCCGCGCCCAGCGGAGGTCGAGGTCCGTCCGCCGCCTTCTCTCTTCCCCTCTCCTCGCCCGCACTCGCGGTGAATGACTCGTGCGCTCAATTTCCCACGCGACGAAGCTACTTGGGCGCCCGCGCGGTCGATTTCCCACGCCTCCTATTTTTCCCGCGGGCGCGCGGTCGATTTCCCGCGGGGCCACGCTCCTTTTGGCGCCCTTCCCCTACGACCGGCATCCGGCGTCCGTGGCGCGGTTGTAGGCGTCCACCCGACGCCATTCGCACCTAGGCGACGCCTAACCCTATGAGCCGGACGCCATACACGCTGAGGTCGTGGTGACCCCGACGCCCAGGCCCTTGACCATGCCTTGTCGCCTAGGCGACGCCTCAAAAACATTGGGCTTACCACATGACATGGGTACACGACGATGCACCTGCCTCGTGAACTCCAGGCCCAACACCACCGTACAGGCCTGGGGCACCTTGCTGTGATAACCTGCTCGAAGAGGCTCAGAGCCGCGTAGCGACGCGTGACCACCACGGAGGTGCGGGCGACCACATCCCCGTGCGGCATTCCATCAAACGCCCTCCGGTCATCGGCCAGGCGGCCGCACTCGCAGCAACTTTGCCGAGCAGCGCGTCGTGTCGTGAAGGAACTTGTCCGGCTCCGGCTGCAGCTCGCATGGAAGTGGCGGAGCGCGCGGCGGGTAGCGCAGACTTGCAGGGCCGGCGGCGGAGCCCCTCCGACTAGTCGCGGACATGGGCGTCGGCGCAGGGCGCGCATCGGCATGCGTTGGATGAGAGGATCACACCGTGAGGTGATGTGAGCATGAGTGGCGTCTGACGAGTGACGAGAAAGTAGCTGGCGATAAGGGGAGGCCGGCGACCCTGCTGTGGAAAGCGCGTATCGATGAAAACGCACCGTTCCGCAGGACACGCCCCTTCCAGTTGCTTACGTCTGAAAACAACAAAAGGAAGTTCTGGCTTTCAGTTGCTTACGTCTGACAGCTTCACCACATTCGCTCATCATTCACCAAAAGGAAAAGGAAACGGACTTCAAAAAGGAGGTTCCTCGTCATCACAAAAAGCCACGATACACAGGAAAAGTTAAGAGTTCATTACTTCCAACTGGTTCCGTGGGATAACAACAAAGTACCCATCTAGTATTACAGAAGTAACTTGAAGCAAGACTACAGTTTGAGGTCTCTACTATAGCATTATAATAACAAAGAACACGATATAATGCTATAGTAGAGACATCATATGCTCCATGTCAAGTAGGGTCAGCTAACGGTTACTACTATATCCGAAAGCCTAGCTGGAGATGGGCCCTCTTGCACATTATTATCCTAGAACAGGGTACTGCACGACATCATTAAGAAGTGGCATCTGAAACAAGACTGGCCCCAGGCTCCAAAAAGGCGGTTGTCCAAGAAACTCTTCCAAAGTAAGCATTAGCGGGTGATCTCCTTTCTATGCATCAGTCTGATTCTTCCATCTCATCATCTGACTGCGGGTTCTCTACCTCACTGCCACTGCTCATGCCATTAGCTGCTGACAGGTAGTCCTTCACTGAGCTGTCTTCTACCTTGTACTTCACAAACTTCACAGCCGCTGCATCTTCATTTCCGCAGCTCTTCCTCTTCCTTATGCCGTTAGTTACCCCCTTCATTGACTGGGCAGCAGCCATAAAAGCATTGCCTGCAGTCTCCATCTTCTCCACAGCTTCATCCTCACTACCTTTGGCGTCCATAAACTCCCTACCACTCTGTTTATCAACAAAGAAAAGGTCCGCATCTGAATGAATCATGTTCCCATATCCATTCTTGACCTCATCATAAGCAAACCTCCCCATAATCCAAGAACTGTAATCTCCAAACACTTTGAGCCCCTTATCTTCAAGGTCGACAAGCCACTCTGTGAAAAGCAAACATATACAGTTCTGCTTGAGTAAGCATTCCACAAGACATGATAAACAAAAACCAATGATGTCGTTTCATATTTGCACATACTGAGAATAGCTTGGGGTGTATTGGCAATTGGTTTGCTGAGTGCACCAGAACTAGCTTGAGAAGTAGCCCACTTGATGAGAAAAATGGGAACATTTGAGGTTGAGAAAGCGTTGATAAACGACAATGCTCTCCCTTGATCACCTTTCCTCCTGTCAGAAGAAATGAAATGAGAATATGTTTCCACCCCCAGCCAAGTTTTGGTTACAATAACTCTTTATCACCTGGCATCATTGACAGCATCAAGGGTGATAACCAATCTCGACACATATATAGGCAAGAGATCAACTCCAGCACCATTGTTAATGAAAGAATAATCCACCAGGATAAGAGAATCATAAAGGACATCTCTCAACAAGATTTCATCATCAGCACTCTGAATCACCAAGAAACCAAACAACACATAATACATGAGTCAAGAAACTTGATAGTGCCACTGGCAAAACTCAGTCGATACAGGTCTTACTCCTAGTTTGCTATCTGACAGATGATACTTCTAGATTCTAAACAGTGAAAATTGAACAAGTAACCAACTACTCAGGAAAACCAAATAATAAAGTAGAAAAATTCAACCAGACTGGCAATTTTATACTAGAAATAACTCAGAGTGACCAAATACATGAGTACAGTACTACATGGCTTGCAAAAATGAACATATAACCAAGGACAATTGGACATACAACCCCTAGTTTGTCATTTCCACAAAAAAAAAAGCACAATCATGATCTGAAACAAAAGGGCATACTAGGACAAACCACAGTTCAGGCTTCAACCTGTTTGCATATCACAAAGATGAGACACAACTCCATCTTAAGTCATGCTCCTTGCAGATGATGACAGCAAAATGCTATAGTAACACCAGCTTTGCGATACACAATAGTCATATACTGTTCTGTTCTCCTCTTTAGTTTCCACAAATTAAGAAAGATCCCTGATTCCAAGCACAGTTGAAGAACAAGGCAACAAGTTGCACATTTCTTATTTATTTGATAAAGGTAATCCATGCTAAATAACTAGTTTACCGAACAGGTAATGAAAAAGCATGATCATGACTCAGGTTTCTTAATTCATGATTCACGAAATGAGTTTATAAGCTATTTGACATGTTTGTTAATATTCTTATGGTCCATACAGCTACCACATGCCTTATTAATGCTTAATTAATACTCTTATAACTTTGTCAATAAGTAGTGAATGTGAATTCATAATAATACTAGCTTGCTAAGTCATGTTCTCAAATTGCTCATTAGTCAGGAAACACATACCACTAGAGAGTAAACAGGCAGCGGAGAGTTCAAGAGCATGTTCAGCAGGACCCCTGTTAAATCCATGGGCAAAGATGCCGACATAATCTCAAGTCACTACAAGTGATGCTAAAAGGAAGAATAAGAACATGGCCATGATCCACTTACCGAAGAATTGGTGGTTCTGGAAGACCGGGATGGAGCTGACTGCCCAGATCTTGAGCTCCTTCTGCAGCTCAGAGCGAGGCACCCCTGTTGCATTCTGCACCTTGAGGCAGAGCCTGAGGAGGAACGCCTCAGCCAGCACCACCCCAGCGAGGTAGTCAACGCTGCAGCCTTCCTTCATGAGCTCCCGCCTGGCCTCGTCCCCAGCGAGCGGGAACAGCACCTGGAACGGGCACCTCTCCCTCGAGTGCCGCACGCTCCACACCTTGACGAGCTCGCCGAAGGCCGGCAGCAGCCTCACAGCGTCGGCGGTCGCCCCCTCGGCCGAAGAGGGGGCGGGGCGGCTGCTGCAGATGCTGATGTAGCTGAGGACGGCCTCGACGAGGGCCTCGGTCTCCCTGCGCGGCTTGTCGGAGTGGAAGAGCTCGGAGACAACGGGGGCGAGGAGGGCGAGCGGCTTGGCGACGCCTGGCGAGGAGGCGGTGAAGGCGGAAAGGAGCTGGAGCAGGGAGCGGAGGTCGTCGGGGCGGTCGTGGAAGGAGAGAGCGGAGAAGAACCAGACGGCCTCGAGCGGCGGGTCCGGGTAGGCGCTGAGGACGCGCGAGAAGACGCGGTGGAAGTTGGTGAGGTCGGCGGCGCCGGGGGCCGGGGCAGCGGAGACGGCGGCGAGGAAGCCCGAAGCGGAGTCGCGGAGGAGTGACTCGAGGCTGGGGAAGCAGAGGGCGGCGCCCATGGAGGGGAAGTCCACCACGATGGAGCCGGCGGCCATGGCGCGGCGGGGGCCGAGGCGAATTGGTTCGAATCGGGGCGGGAGTGACGAAACCCTAACCCTAGGCTCGACCCGAGAGGAGTGGGGTTTCGGGGAGGTCGAGGGGAGAGGAGGGGTTTGGCCTTGGGTTCAAAATGTCGGGGTGGGGTGGGGCTTGGGAGTTGCGGCCGTGGGTGGTTTTTGAAGACGGGAGAGGCGGGCGGGGTGACACTGACCAATGGAGCCACGTGGTCAGTCAGCGGGCGGGAGAATGGCTTGTTGTTATTGGATTGGGCTTGAGCTGGTTCTGTGGTCCAGTTTCAAAATGGGCTAATCTAAATTAAAAAAAAATAAAAACGGGCTAATCTATGGCCATTGAATTGGGTGATAGGGTGAGTCGGGCCTAGGTTGGGTTCTAAAGAAAGTCTAAGCAAAATACGGTCTGTTAGCGAACCGGAAAATGCTAAGGTCATCTGCACCGGGATTCTTCCGGTCCGATCTGTCGGTAGCGTGCGCTGTGCCGACCAGTGACGGTGACGGGAGAGAGAGCCTGAGCAAACATGGCCCAGTTTGAATTCGTACGAACGCGGCCCAGTTGAGTTCGGAGCGAGCGGCGGCCACACAACGCTCACTAGGCAGGCCAGATAGGATACGTTTCTTTTTTTCTCTCTCTCTTTCCTCGCTATTATTTATTTTTTCTGTTTCTTCTCTCTTTTGTTTTGTGTGGTCTTCTATTATTCTTTTCATTTTAATTTCCTTTTTTTCTTTGTGGAATTTTATTTCAAAATTTCATTTTGTTTATCTTTTTATCTTTCTTTTTATTTTTTTATAATTAATTTTTATATATATGATGTTCGTGAAGTATACATATAGTGTTTTATGATGTGTTTCAGATGTTCTCGTAGTATAAGTGATTATATTTAAATATTCATATAGCACTTGTGAGATGCTCTGTGATATGTTTTTAGGTTGTTCAAGTAATATCCATGTGATGTTCTGTTATTTTCCTCTATTACATCTTTTATTTTCATTATTTCTGTTTCTCCATATTCTTTAGTGTTCACGTAATATATACATGATGTTCCATAGTATATTATGATGATCACTTAGTATAAATGGAATGTTCCACGATCATTTTTTAGTATTCATGTAGTACTCATGAGATGTTCTATGTATATTTTAGGTTGTTTTAGCAGTGTCCAAGTGATATTTAATGTGTTCTTATTACATTCTTTTTATGCTTTGATCTATATATATTCTATATTTTTCTTTCACCTATTTGCATTTCATTACTATTTTCTTTCTATTTCATTTTTTCTTTGATTTCTTATTTTTATTTCTACTGTTATATGGCTTCTTTTTTCTTTGTCTTCTTTTTTCCTTATTTGTTTTTTTCTACTATGTAGTTTTTATTCTTTTAATTCCTATATTTTCGTGAGACACATATGATGTAAGTGTAATGTACATGTGATGTACTATGATATATTTTCGGATGTTCACATATTATAAGATGTTCCATGATTATATTTGAATATTCACATAGTACTTGTGAGATGTTCTATGATAAATTTTATGTTGTTTAAGTAATATCCACGTGATGTTCACATAGTATATATGTGATATTTTATGATGTTCACATAGTATAATGAGACATTCCACATTATCTTTGAGCATTCACGTACTACTGATGCGATGTTCTATGGTATATTTTTGCTATTCTAGTAGTATCCATGTGACATTTTATGTGTTTTTATTATGTTCTTTTTGTGTGTTGTTCCATATATTAGATTTCATTTTCCCTTCGACTTATTTACATTTGATTGTTATTTTCCTTTTCCTTTCTTTCTTTCTTTCGCATGATCACATTTTATTTCCCCTGTTACATAACTTTTTTCAATGTCTTCTCATTTTTTCTTGTTTGTTTTTTTGCTATCATATATATTTTTTTGTCTACAATATTATTCTTGTGAGGTGAAATATTTTACATTAGAGTAAAATGGTTCGATTGGTTTAATAATAAAATATTTTATATTTAACATAAATATCTATCGGTGTAGTTGTAGGCGAATGATTTTGCTAAATTATGTTCGAACTCTAACTCACATTATATTTTGCTTTCTCATATTTTCTATTTCCTTTACTTGAGAAAGCAGTGCAAGCATGAGGAACAACATAGAAGCGGGCCCATATGTGCGAAAGGATATAAAACCTGGTCGGCCCGGCTGCGTGCCGACCTGGTCGACCTATAACACGCCCGTCTACACAAGGTGTTGCCACCCACTATTAGGTGGCAAAATATACTGTGGAAACCACCTTTTGGGTGGAAACATTAACCAATTCAAAACATGTACTTTGGTTTTTTTTGAAACTTGACACATCCATAGTACATACAAGTATGTACTCATACAAAAAAAGTCAAGATGCAAACTCAAACTAGAAAAAATCATACGAAAATGACAAATATGAGGTTCATGTGGACTAAAAGCCACACATGAACCTAAAATTTGTCAGTTTCGTATGAATTTTCAACTGCGTGTTTGAATTCTAACTTTTGCACGTACGTATTAGTATGCACTAAGGATGTGCCAAGTTTCAAAATTTCTTAAATGACCGAAATACATTTTTTACAATATATATTTTGATAACATATTTATTTACCTTTCTCTAGCATCAAACAAGAATATTATAGATATTTTTTATGAACTTTTCTTAAAGTTTTAGGGACAAACCTCTGTGTTACTTTGGGATAAACCCAAACATTCTTCCCCTGTCTCAATTTTATGTTTTCTTTTGAGACTCGCCATCTTTTTCAAAAGACTAGTGATGGTACAGTGAAGGTGAAGGTTATTGGTATACACGCTATAGGGAAGCTTCCGAATAAGATATGGGTCCCAACTCTCAAAATCACTTATAGATCACTACAAGTCCAACCTTGCTTGAGTTCCCAATAAGAGGCTCGTGAATTAGGGGGAGATGAGGCTCATATGGATGCAGTTTGGATGCATCAAGCAGACCTCGACCCCAATGCGGCCTTACCTCTCCGTGCCATCGGTTCCTTTTGTTTTGCAATGAACACCCCAAACATCCACTGCAAAATCAAGCTTCGCTTCACTTGTTTCCTACCCCACCGATCACCACAGACCACTTGAGGCCGGATTGCAATCCGAGACCACGAAGAGAAGGTTTCCTACCCCACGGATCACCCTTTGAGGCCAGATTGCAATCTCAGACCACGAAGTTCCTCTGCCACAACTCTTCTTGGATCTAGACCAAGTTTCTCACTGACACCTCAATTGGAACCCTAATCCTACCTGATCGTTGCCTGGAGAAGACGAGGACAACACAGACCAGAGCTGGTCGTAGAATTCCTCTATGAAAATTAAACAAGTTTGCTTATGACAAAACTAATATGACTTATAATTTGAAACGATAAGAGTTAGCCGATACATTGAGCTATCTGTTCCAAGTAGTGTCGCCACAATATGTGGCATGCAAGAATTGATTCGTCTTAGACAGATGGAAAGCTTCCAAGATGTCAAATAAAAATGAAGGTAAACTAGACGTAAGGTGGCTCAATGCTAAGTAAACGAGTACCCCTATCTCGCGTCCTTGAAAAAAGAAAAGTAAAATGAGCACTCACCAATTTAGGCTCCAGTCCAAGATGAACCTGTGATGAAATGGTACGACAAAGCTGACAAGGACATGTTAACATGTTGCGTTTGCTAAAAGAATATACTTAATACTAACTAAACAACAGTAGAACCACTTCCAGCTATTTTAAAATGTATATACAATAAAAATGACAGAGTATATTACCTATTCTAGGGTTCGCATTAAACATGACGAAGGTCTCGGCATTCCTCGGAAATAAGGTTCCCCATATAAGAGGGGAAAAAAAAGGTCGATCTGTATGTAAGATAAAATTATCGAAAGCTTCAACGGCCACCCTGAAGTTACAAACCCATGCCCAACATGTGAATACAGCGGTGGATCATCGTTATCCCCTTAACATCTACTACAGATGCCCAAATGTTGTCAAACTAGGGCCTTATCTTTAAATCTAAATGAACCTATGGGGGAAAGACAAGCCTTTCCCCACAAAAAAATTAATCTGAATCAAAGCTGCTTCCCGGGAATGATCGAGTCACTTCCTCTTGGACTCTGGACAGCTCTATATGGCACCGAAAAGAACTGCATCCGACTGGCACAAGATACACCATCTCCAGCAACTCCTGGCTTCAATCCACCAGGGGCTAAACGTGTCTTTCTCACCGGGAGCAACCACCAAAAAAACTGTCGCTCTGTTCATTTCGCTTGTTTATGCGTAGTACATGTACAAGCTATTGGCTGCAGCACACGCAATTAGGTTTTCAGATGGGTGCCAAGCCAAATGGAGCAACTTTGTGCTCAGATCATAGGAATTTCCATTGGCATCTATTCCAGTGCTTTCTCCACCTGCATAAGGTTTACAATATTAGTAGCTGCAGTGAAAACTATTCTTTTGCAGCCTAACATGCCAAAGCATGAAGCTAACCTCGTCTAACAGCCCTTGTCAGAGTACTTAGGGATCTGGTAGCTCTAGTGGGATTCTGGAGCTGCCTCCTGTTCACAAGAAAAGATAACACAGATATGATTAGTTCCAACTTCCAAGCTACTACTCCCTCCGTTCCAAATTATAAATCACTCTGACTTTTTTGGTTCATCCATTTTGCTATGTATCTAGACATATTATTATATCTAGATGCATAGCAAAATGCATGTACCAAAAAAAAGTCAAAGCGACTTATAATTTGGAATAGAGGGAGTACATTTGAACGACAAACGCTCATGTATGCTACTCAAACAATTTGGTGTATGGAAATCAATTTACATGAAGAAACAAGACATGCTTAAAGGTCAAATAGTTTTGTTTCCAACATTTTTCTTTAAAAAGTAGCACTACCTTGTAGGGTTTCGAGTTGCTTCAAGTGTTGTTGCCTCACTGCTACCAGTACCGCAACCAAACACACGGAAAATGTTGC